GGGGGGATTTAAAATGACAACTTTTTCACAATAAATTTACTTTTTCAACATAACTTTTGAAAATGTTCCGGAAGGTCTGACACTTTTATATATATCTTAAATTAAAGCTAATGTAATATACTTTAATGTGAAAAAAAAAAATTTGACCTCTGGACTTGTCTTCATGGTGAAAACGGCTACCAAATGCTATTTTTGTGTGAAAATTTTCAATTTTATTATTTATATTACATTTAACTTTATAATGCTATAACTTATTGAAAAGTTTATGGATCCACACAATTTTTTTATGAGAAATAATATTTTTTAATAAACCCTTTTTTTTTTGACATACTTTATCTTTATCGAGATATTAAAAGGAACTAGCAGATCAAGTAGCTTTTGGAATTAAACACCAATTTTTTTAAAATTAAACTCTATCTAAAGATTTGCATCGAAGCGTTTATTTTTTATAGTGATTTTAATCACTATCAGATATCATTATACTTGATCCAACTAATGCACGTCACCACTGTGCCGCGACCCCCCTGTGCTGGGTTTTTTTATTTATCAGTTATAAATTACTTTTTAGAATAAGCTCTTTTAACTTATAGCGGTGTCAACTTTATTTGTTCAAATGGCAACGTCTATAATTTACTAGCTTATATAATAGATAATGATGTAATTAAGAAAATGACTGGTCGATAACAACTTTGGACCAGTACTTTGGATGTTATTCTCATTTTTATACCTAAGTGAGACAAAAAGTACATCCGAAAAACCCACGCCTCACCACCAGTCATTACTTTAAATTGTTCATAACTTCTGAAATACTGATACAAAAGTTGTTATCGATCAGTCATTAAGAAATGAATTAATAAATAAGAATTTGCACCATTATCTATTAAATAAGCTAGTTAAAGAGTAGTTTTTGGCTGATTAATCAAGAATATATGTAAATAAAATAAACTAAATTTTTATCGAATTTTTTATCTAATTTTTGTAGGTAATCGAGTGATTTATAATAAACCGTTCATTCTTTATAAGATTCTATAATACATAAATAGTCTTTGTGGAAGGTGGTCAAATTTATCATTTTTAGGCTATTTGTAAATTATATTGAAAATTTTCGGCTATGTTTACTAGTATAAATTTTATTTCAATAAGTTAGTTAGTTATTATTAAATTGTTAATTAAATTTGATAAGTTACAATTATCTGGTGTAAAATATTTCATATTATTTTTCTTGAAAAGTAACCATTTTCAATTTGATTACTTTTTCATATAAATTACCAATATAATATTGCTTTAATGTGAACAATTAATTTTACATTTTTAAGCAAAAAAATTTCGAATACTATGCAAACAATAAGGAAGTATGCAGATGTAAAATATCACTAATCATATTTGTTTTAACGATCCTAATTTCATTGACTATAAAACATGAATAATTTTTTTTAAAGAAATCATGTTTTTTAAACTAAATATTTTTTGTCCCTTTTTTGAAAAAAATTATCCATTCTTAGACTACGTTAAGAACATATTTTTTTTAATTGCATACTAAATTCATTAAATATATTATGCTCTATATGATTATAATATATTATTACATAAAAATAATTTCATGAAATATACATAAAATATATGAGGGAATGGACACATTTGACTTTAGTGAAAATTTAATTTGATTGAAAAAAACTAGTTGCAATAATAAATTAAGTTCACGTACAATAATCATATTATAAGTTAAAAAACACAGTATAACCAATTTTCTGTATACTACGTAAAATTAAAATTTATTACTACACTAGTTTTATCTAATCAAATTAAATATTTCCTACATTCAAATATGCTCCAGTTTCTACAATATAAGTTTTGTAACGACTTAAAAGCTCTAAAAATTATTAAATCAACAATTACTATTAATAATAATTTAGTAATAATGAATGAATAAGAGCATTATTTTTTATAATCTGATAAATTATCGTACATAAAACAATGAAAAATTAAAAAAATATATATTAAAGCATTAAAAAAAAACCGAACAAAATTATTCTACTGCCAAAATAAATCAGGAAGGAATAAACAAGCCCTTTTGAATTATATTGACGGTAGCAAGGACACTTGTTGAATATTGTGTTATAGTATAATATCTCATCAATGTTAATTAGATGCTCTTGGGAAAAAACATCCATTCTCCTCTATCCCCGTAAACATGCCACGAACATTGCTCTGATGATATTCAACCACATACAGTTGACTAAGAAATTGGTATTTACACAGTACAAATGGCGTTGTATAAAATATGTATAAGTAAATTTTCTAGTAAAACTTTACTTATCGCCATTATTATAGAAGTACTACAATATTTGAAGTCCAATTGATATGATACCATTGAATTTTAAACTAAATATTAGCGAAATTTTATTAAATAATTAGTTATAATGATTAGTTTAAAACCTTTATCAAATTTATTTATTATTCAATTCATTTTTTCGAATTTCTAATTTACCCATATAACTCATTTTAGAAAATTATTTGAATATTTTATTAAATAATAATATTAATAATAATGTTATTAAATGCTACAGTAACGATTTTAAGTTTAACTCTCAATTTTGCACTATTAAAAAGTCGAAAAAAGAATAACTAACTATTTTCATTTGACATTTTGTAGCTTTGTAAAAATTTAACAGATTTGCATCGAATTCTTTTTATGGTTGTTATGTTAATTACTGTTCCTACTGTGCTAGGTTTTTATTTTAGTAGAACTCATTCTGACTTTATGAAATTTTAAAACAATAAACTAAAAATAATTACTTTTCTTTCATATATTTTTTATAAAAATGTAGTTAACAACCTGAGTATAGGAGGAATTTAAAGATACCTATTAGAATTGAAGAAAAACGTTTTCAAAAACTTCAAATT